TTTTCTAAGTGTGCACTTTTGAAGAAAATTTTGGATGCACTCCGAAAAGTCGGGTAATAGAATATTTCGCGCTTTTCTGGTACAAACAAATATATTGTCAACTATATCGCAGAACGGACACTTTCTTCTAAAATGTTTTGCAACTTCTCGACTGATTTTGGCGCGGTCTAGACATTTGCCAATTCTATTGATCTCTTATGAACACGTTCCTGCAGACAATCACCCTAGCTTCTTAGGGATAACATCTGAAACGACCCACAGATATTCTCAAATACTCAGTTGATTGCAAGTTCCCCCTGTGATAGTAAACATTCCCTCGCAATATGAGTCATCAATATAAATCCTCCCCTAAGTTGAGAAATAAGGGACCGACCCTTCCAAAGTCTGTGGAATGAATAGAAAAACACTCTTAAAATACTACAGAAGGAATATAGAGAAATAATTCCTCTTTCAAACTCTTGTATTAACTAGACATCTAACACCAAATGAGGCAATACTTGACTTGGAATATATTAAAGAGAACTCTGGGTTCAATTACATACTTATACAATTATATTTCAAGGGTGTTTGCTATTTCAAAAGTACCAAATACTCAAATTTCGAATATATCGAATTCAAACGACATGTCTGTTCATCTTTCAGTTGTCTTGAAAGAGCACCATTCAAAGTCAGTTTCAACATGAATTTCCAACATATTTCTTTGTTCTTAGGGCATGAATATTTTTCATGACTATTGTTTATAAATTTGTGTATAGTTTTTGATAACTCCTGAAAATAGCAACCCAATCTTAAGATTCTTGCAACTGTCTTGTAAATACTCTAAAACTTGGTAAAACAGTGCTAAGAAATAATTTTTTCATGTGGAATCAAGCCAAGTGTTCATTTTTTTTTCGATTTTATTAATCACAACAAAATTCTGAAACCGAGTCGTTTACAGCAGTCATCAATGAAAGTGTATTTATTTTGATTCCTACTTGAAAGTGCATTCGATAAGGTGGTCGGAAATTTAAAGTGATGTGCCCAATTTCCAGGGGGATATTTGTAAATACTTATACTGACATTTTGAAAGTCAGAAAATGCGTCAAATCTGCTCAAATGGAACAACTTCAGATTTATTTACGTTGTCTCAAAAACCTTTTCTCATCCCCAATGGTACTTACGGGAATGTTGTTGAAAACCGATTTCCAACTACGAATATCTCTGTTCAAAGAGAACGTGTTAGAATTATAGAGCAATTATAAATTTATATATATATATATATATATATATATATATATATATATATATATATATATTATATATATATATATATATATATATATATATATATATATATATATATATATATATATATATATATATATATATACCCTACTGCAGAAGACTGATCTCCAGTCTTATTAGTTCTCAGTTCCTTAAAGTAGACAGGAATAACTGTACTTACTTTCGGAGCTTCAATTCATAGGGGATGAAATGAAGCTCCGAAAGTAACATTTGGACACATGACTCTTCGATAGATGGCGCTTTTCATTCATCTCTACTATTACAGCCTGTCTTTAAGTGGAATAGGTTTATTCGGAGGAATCGATTCGAGGTAACATTCAAGCACAAGAACTGTCTATACTGCCTCTATTTATATACTTAATTATCATTCAGTTTCTCAAAAACTTCCAAACAAAAAGTTTGTATTTTATTCAGAGATACCCCGAAGAATAATTCAAATGATGAAAAATCGAAAGATTAACATGGTCTGGATAATTACACTCCAAACTTTCACTCGAATTCTCCATAAAGAAGTAGTCGTTTTGTGAGTCTTCTTTTTCTGAAAAAAATTATAAACTATCTAGAAAGTCAATCAATACTTTCAAAATAATGATTTCACGTCTGAATATGAACTGTGAACACCTTGCACCGAATAGAAAAATATTCGACCAATCAATAATTACTTGGAATGTTTTGATCGCTACTCATTCTGGAGCTAATATTTCTTGACATTCAAACATAACATCGCTGTGAAATTATCTCGTACAGCTTTCGAACATTTCTGGTCGGTGTGGGCGACCCACAGCCGCCCATGGTTAATCGGGCATTCAATAAAAGTTTACGAGTCACTACGAATTCGATTAAAAATATTGAAAATAACCAAATGATGCCCATCTGGTTGTCTGTTTATGTCGATAAACGAATGGAAAGCGATACTTCGTTGATGGAATCGTTCAATGTTTTCATCAAGCTTGGTAATGGATTTTATGAGTATAATTGGTTTTTATTGGAAACTATTGCAACAGAACCTCAGTATAAAGGTATTCGTCTATAAACTCTAACAATACGAAATAGCTTCAAAAAGCACCTACTGCACATAATACAAAATTTTCACGATTGGTCATTTCATATATACACATGCATATACAATACTATTAAAAAATCACCTACATAAAATTATAAATAAAGAGGAATGCATAAAAGTAATACATTTTCTTATATTTGAAAACAATTTTTGAACAATGATAAACTCAAATAAAATACCACATATAAAACTAGTTCTTTCAAATTATAATTCGAATTATCAGATAATTCAAATTTACGTTTGCATTTAATACAAATGAAATATTTCATTCTCGAAGGGGATTCTTCCTACCATTGCATTTTTACAATCTCTTTATTAGATTCTTAAAACTATTTTGAAGAGTTTTTTCGACTTTTACTGATCAGTTATAAATGTTTTAGATCATTATGCAATATTAACAAATATATCGTGACGCTTATGAAAACTAGATCTTCTTCATTTTAACATTTCTGCCAAAGTCGTGTCTGTAGCCTATTGGGGAGAGTGACGAACCCTCTCTAGGGAGATTCCATGTTCAACTAGGTCCATGTTCGACATGGACGTTTGTGTATGTAAATGAGTTTCAACGGTTATATAATTGAATAATATGGAATGGATAATGTTCAAAGATTACGAAACAAGGAAATTGAAAAAATTTCTGCCAAAATAGTATCAGGAGAAAGATATCTACAATGTAACGCTTTGAATATCAATTCAATAATTCAGTTCATATTTATTGTTTGAACAAAGAATGCAAAAAATATATTCGTTGATGTATTGAAATCTTGTAATTAAACACTGCCTTTCCCCTTATTATATATTCAGTTTACCCGTATATTATAAATAATTGTTACGTAATTATTTTTCGAAAAACTCGGTGACAGTGAATCGTGAAATTCAAGGTCTGGGTTAGCTAAACAATCGTCGTCTTTCATCATTTTCTGTCATTCTCTTTCAAAAGATAAGTAAACAGTAGTCATTGTTGGCTAAGAGGAATATCCTATCTCATTTTGCTGACTAATACTTTCATTGAAGAATCGAAGCAAAATACGTACTACATAATTGAATTTCGAGGTTTTATCCTGCTTTTTATACATATCGCATTCATAAAGTGCTACATTTTGCTCAAAAACACCACCCATAGGTATATAGAAAAGTAGTACTAACTTCTCAGGAAAATTTTAAAACTGAATAATTGTACACAGACTCAATGCAGTACAAATTTATGTTTCTCAAATACTTCATAATTTTATTGGACGATGCTTGTTTCTGCTCAGCTCAAAACACGTTTTCGCTGCTCTATCAAATGGCATTAAAATATCAAAAACGTCAAGAATTTACTTCCGTGGATTTAGAACAGAGTGAAGATATATTGTATATCAAATCCAAAAGTTCCTGTTATTATTTAGTATCTAGGTATTCCAATTTTCCACTCGATATTTAAATATAGTTAAATGTAGAAATTTGTTTTTACAATACGTTATATCTCGTAGTATCAATAAATCTTGCTTACAACACTCGTAGAAAGATTTTGCCTGAAATATATCCTATAATTAGGATATATTTCATCCTATTATTATTTATTTATAATATAAAAGTACTTAAATAAATTCAACTCGAATTAATTTTGAAAAATCGTCACACAACTATTTGTAGTGTTTTAATATTGTTCATATATTAATCACTATAATATTCAAATTGTTCCTTGTTAAATTAGATATATGAGCTCTTGATAATGGATTTGTAGCCCGAATATGTCAAGTGTATTTGTATTCAAGAGTTTTATTCACTATAAAGCCAAATGTTTTTAATTATACGATATACATTATATATTATGAATAATTCGCAACATGCAATAGACAAAATAGATGGCGATATTTAATACTTGAAAATGGTAAATGAAATAGTGTTTTCTATACGATGGTATCTTAGGAACAGCCAGAAGAAGCCATCGTAATAGTGAAACGTACATCACAATTTTCAAATAAAATATAGAAAGCGATGCTTTATCATTTTGATTTAGAAATTGATTAACATAAAGTAGCGGCCGTAAATGCTCAAAAAATATTTCAATACTTTCAGCTATATTTAATAGTGTTGGCGTTTACTTGATGTAAATCCATTATAATTGAATATAACTTAAATTCAAACACTTGAACTTATGATTTACACTTTATTGACTACTTAGTCAATAAAGTACTTAAAAATTACTTAGTCAATAAAGTGTAAATCATAAGTTCAAGTGTTTGAATTTAAGTTATATTCAACTTTCAGCTATGCCTACACGGAACGAAACTTGTGAAGCTTTTGAGTTTGAAGTTTAAGTGTAAGTTTATTAACCTAACTAATGCTTAAATTTTATATTATATTCTGATTAAATCTAGTTTCTCAGTATACAAATCAAAAATTATCGTTTAAAACTGACTCTAAACTATAGGACCACAAAATTCATTTTTTTTGCAACGAATTACTCGCAAAAATTTTTTAACTTACGTCATGATGTTGTGTCTGCATTTTAAGCTTTTCCAATAAGCAGAAATAACTATTTTTATATTTCAATGAAAGGAAACTATTGAATTTAACATAGACGTGGTAACATTAATAACCAGCATTCATTAATTTTAGTTTTCTTGCATTGCTATAATTTTATTAAAATTCAACGAAATAAATGTCGGCCTCCGAGGCTTAGTCGGGAAAACATCCGACTATGGTGCATCCGGGTTCGACTAGGATTCGGGTTCGAGCCCCGGTGAAGGCATGGGTGTGTGTGTGTGTTTGTCTATGATTAGTTAGAATGAGGATAATTGTAGAGTAATTTACAGTGATTACAAGCCTATTGGCCGTTCGGAACCTGTGTTAAACTGTAGGTCAACGAAATAAAAACAGTTATCTCAAATAGTATGTTGGATATGACAAGTCAAATTATAGACATTTCCATAAAAGATTAATAATTATCAGAATTATAACCGAAAATGCATAAATGTAATTCCTCAATTAATGTTTATATTGTTCTACATCTTCATTTGAAAAAACTGGGATAATAAACTAGGATATTCCAATGGTGTTATTAAAGTTTTTCTATCTCAGTATTGGTAATCGAAACAAAATTTTTGTTTCAAAAAACAAAAATATTTGCTTTGCTGGCTTTACACTTTTTTTAATATGCTTAATTTTTTCGGTAATGTTTTGTGGTTGTTTTTGTTTAGATATTTTCTAATCAATCTTTATATCAATATTTATGACACCAGTGAAATAACTGAATCAACATCTAATTTTCATTTATTACAAATACGTAAGTTTCAAATGCAATATTTTTCTATAAACAACAGAACATTCTTTCAAAATTTCTAACAAATTATTATATTGAACCTCGTAAAGTTTCACATTACATTACCTACTTCAGATTTTATGGACATGTGTTTCTACTCTAGAAAAGCGAAGGTAGTGAAAACATCTCCACTAAAATCGGATATTCGTTCACGTTTAAATCTTTCATCGAATATTTTGATGGAATTTTTTGCTTTAAATAAAATTCAAATGTATGGGAGTTACAGAGTGTCATAATAAAAATGAATAGATCGCGTATTGAATCCATTATGTTATCTAGAAGTTTGTAAATATACAGGAGTTCGGGCACTTCTCTATGTTTATGATTAGGCGTGAATCAGTCATCGCTCAACATGGATCGGATTTCATTTGTTTATACTATTTGGAATCTGAATCTAAATAATATCCCAACATTGCGATTGAAAAAAGATTTTAATTTGTTTTGAATCAAGCAATAGATTTTTTCATCAATCGATTATGGCGTTATCTATATCTTATATTTATATTTTTTAATATTTACAATTTAATCGATAATAACATTATCAATTTATTATTATATCTTAAGGATCTTATGGAAAGCATTATTTGATTAATTATGAATATAACCTCTTCTTTTTCTACGAATTATATACACACATGATTAGAGACCGGATTTTATGCATTAGAATATTTGTATATACACACATGATTAGAGACCGGATCTTATGCATTGGAATATTTGAGCCATTCTCACCAGTAAATGCATATTCATCCTGAGATTTAGTTATGATTCATATTATCGGTACATCTTCTTTATATATATATATTACTTCTACTGTACGTGTGTATGTCACCAAACTCCACCTTAAGGCTGTACCGTTTTTTTTTTGAAATTTTTTGTGTATTGAAGTGGATTCAAGAATAGTTTAGATTTGCAATTGGACCCGGTAGATGGCGCTTCAATCGAGTTTTTGAAATTTTCGAATTAGAGATGCGTTACCAGGACAATGTCTGTAGGGTTCGCTACTTCGTATATTTTTCTATGTGCAGTATTGCGTTCCGAAATGCAATAAAAGGGATAATATCGTCAATACGAAAAAATTTAATTCTCTCACAATATAAGGGCAATTGAATAATAATAGTTGTGACCTTGATCGGTTTTTTTGTGGCAAGTCCGTTTTTTATGACTTTGATCCGTTTTTGTATGACTTTGGTATGTTTTTTTTATGATTTTGGTTTGAAAACATATTGAACAATCGCCCAGATATCGAACATTTGTGCCGAATTGATTTCATTGATGGGACGGCAGATGAACTTTTGCCCGAATCTATAAATTCAAACGTAGTTCGATTGAAAATTCTGCCCAAATATCTCATTGACAATAATATTCTGCTCTTTGGAAAGCACAATGATACCACTTGGGCCAATACTTTAAAAAAGTATTGAAAAATTTTAGTGTCAAATAATGTTACTACAGTGTGTAAATGTTTACAGAGCACCTACTTATCGAAGGATAATTTACTAATTGTATTCTGATTTTGAAAAGAAAAAACTTGAGACTTTCCTGTTTTCTTTCAAGTCCCTCTGTTTTCACATATTCTGCCTAATTTCGTTCATATGTCAAGCATTTTTCATGAATATTTGCATGCATATAATAAGATTTTCATGTTGCATAGAATCTGGTCTCTACACATAATCGTTCAGCAAATACGTAATATATGGACTTAAACATTCCGCAATTGAAAGTAGCCACTGACACACGTTTCGAGCGTGTTGACTCCCTTCAGAACGGCGTAGCCAAGTTCAAGGTGTGCGAACCTGGCCATGAAAAAACAGAAACGAAAGAACATTCCTATACAGGAAGTCGCCACTTTGTCACTTTTAGGCTTCCACGTGAACTCTCCGGATTAGGAGATTTGGTTTTGATTCGCCTTTGCGGAGACTATTTATCCTTTTTGGAACCTCTAACGGGGAATGTTAACAATGATTGGAAGAAGCCTAATTAGCTGCATATATATTCGAAACAATATTTTCTATCTGTATCGTTTTTATTTATTCGTCTCTTCAGAAGTCTGCATTCTGGTTACATTATTTATTTCAAGCTTTATATTTAAGTTACAGTTACTCCTACAATTTCTTTTTCTTTGTAGTTTACCTCCTGAAGAAGTCATAAAATGAATGGCGAAATATTAACAAATCAAATGTGTTATTGAGTTCGTTTCTGCAGACCACAATCCCGACAATCACATCAAAGTTTTCTGCTTATATATATATATATATATATATATATATATATATATATATATATATATATATATATATATATATATAATGTATTTGTGCCTCTTTGAAAATTGTGACTCATGCAAGTAAATATAATCTTTGAAATTGCAAAGCTGTTATCCATCATCTTCGAAACGAAAATCATGATATTCATGAATTCTTCAGTCAAATACAATGACGCATAACACATATGATGCCATATCTGTTATTACTAATGTACTTCCGATTTACTAGGAAATGCCCCCAACTTTAATCATATAAATAGAACATCCTTTATATGTGTGTTGATTTTAATATATCTTGTTTTCTTCCAATCCGAGGTACCTATCAAGAACCCTTACTTTCTGCTTCTATGTATTGCTATATATGTATGTACGTATTTCTCCTTTTAGCAATCACCTACAAAGTTTGATAAACGTTATTATTTTCGAAAATTAATTCACATTAGGCCCGGTTTTTTCACCTTCAGTTAGAGCCGCAGATAAGCTTTATATGCCAGTTAGCAGATTTGCGTCTTCTCACTGCAGTTAGAACAAACTCCCTCTACTTAACCATAGGTAAGACCAAAGGTTCAATTTATCTTCGCTCAGGTATGCAGATAGTTAACCAAATATGAAAATACCGGCGTTTTCTTATTCGCTTAGATGCAAAGAACTGGTCAACTAACTTAAAATGTTAAATCACTACAAAATTTGATCGAAGTCTATCCAGAAAACTTCATACAATGAAGAAGCATAATTCATATCGTCCATAGTATTCCACAGCATAAGCAGGCAATCTTGACATAGGTATACCTAAATGAAATTGTAGTGCCTGTATATAAAATATACATAATGAAAAGTTTTCAGTATATGCATATGAAAATATATACATCTATGACAAAATTAGTTTCTAAAATTTTTGTCTCTTTGTTTCGGCTAATCTGAGAAACGGCTGACTAATTCAGATGGGATTTAGAAGAGAAGATGAGGAAGAAGAGCTAAGCGCATAATACGTAACTATGGCTGATTTTTCTCTAAGAAAATCAATCTTCAATTCTTCGTCAATCAATCTTCAATTTTATATTTAGAATAAATCCCCTCAGAAGGAGATTGCGTTCCTTTTCTTCCGATACCTGGTACTTTTTGTATCGTACCTTGTTACTATCAAGTAGATATCATTACTTTAAAACCGATACTGCAACGAGAAAAGGTCTATATTATGGTAATATCGTTTCATATCTAGTCCCGCATACACATGAGTATAGGGTAGAAACGGTACGTTAAAAACAGCATTCACTTATTTCATTCTACTAGATTCACTGAATTTCAGCAAATAAATTAGGTTTCCCACATTTTGATAGCAGAATACCTTCATTTCATATTTCGTTATTGTTTTCACATAAGTATTTCTGTGTTAAATATACTGTATCGTTACTTTTTTCCGATACCTATTACTTTTTGTATCAATACCTTGGTACTATAAAGTAGATATCAATCTTCAATTCTTCAATTTTATCTTTAGAATAATTCCCCTCAGAACATCAATGTTTTGGGGAGATGAAAAAGCATTTGAATAAAATTAAATAAATGGTTGGTGTTTTCGTTGTAAAATTAACCAGAGAGCGAAAAAGGAGGCGAAGCCCCGGCACATAGTATGAAATGAATGTTTCAAATAAATGAAAAATAGACAGTCCTTGACCATAGGTTATGCGATTATTATACGATTTGTTTATTATTTTACATTCACTTTGTGAGGCTCTTCAGGTATGATACAAACTGAATGTAGATTATACTACCAGACGACTAATAAAACGTCGTCTTATATTTCCATATCTCATCTGAACAAAGTGATTACATCAAGTTTGCTTCACTTTAAAGTGCGCAGGAGGTCAAGGGCAATTCCTGCCAAATTTTTGCGTTGGAGTTTTTTCAATTAGCGGTGCAATGTCGAATGAATTATCACTTTTACCGAATTATCGCTATCAAGCAAGTTAACTGAATGGAATATTATTTTATGTCTAATACGGATGAGTACACTTATATTTTTATCTTATCATTTCGAATTATTGTACAATTTCAATTATAAATGTGCTATATCGTAGGAAACTGGAACAATTTTGACTAATAAATTTCACTGTTATCTTATTGCTTTTATGATTTTGAAACCTTGATTTATGCAGAATGTACA